ATACATGCATGCATGCACATACATACATACATACATACATACATACTACATACATACATTACATACATACATACATACATACATACATACATACATACATACATACATACATATATATAATTATTTCAAACCAAAATGAATCGAACACGAACTAATAAAACTTTGTTCTTGTTTGGTTCATTTACATGTCGAGGGCAAAAAAACTATTTGTGTTTGGCTCATTAACTTAGCGAACGAATCGAACACGAGCTTCATGATAACCCCAACATGAACTGTTCGCGAACAACGATCCGTCTTGACAGCCCTACAAAACGCAAAACGGCGCCTCTTTTAATTTCAGTAATCTTAAGCTATTTAAAAAAAAAAACAATAATAATTACATAATAACCACTCAAATTTTAACTATTTACACACAACACCCTCATACCTCCATTCCAGGCATACAAAACAACAGCCCTCAATTTTCATTTTCATCAAACTCCTAATTCTCCCATTTAAAAGATAAAAATGGGGATTTACATGCACACCACCCAATTCATGTGTATTTACATATCTGACACCTAAATTTTACCACCCATTACAATTATACCACACAAACCTTTCATAGCACACCAAAAATACCACCATTTCAACTTTTAGAATATGAAATATACATTTTCATGCATAGATAAGGCGTCACGTATGTTAAAAATGAAGTTTAGAGTGCCAGATATATAAAATACATATTGATTGAGTGGCACGTATGTAGAGCTTCAAAATAAAAAATACATTGAATAATTACATACAGATTATCCAAAACATTGATATTCACAGACTTAACCGCACGTGATTTTTTTGAACTCCTGAACTGATGTATTTACTCGTGCCATGATCAAACTACTGAGAATTGGATAAAAATGAAAAACATGAACTTGGGTTTTACCACGAATTCTGACATGCGAGTGAAAATTTAAAAAATGGACGAAAGAGAGTGCTTGATTCATAAATAGCAAGTTTTTGGGTGGTCTGAATGTAAAATACAGCATTTCATTCCAAAAATGCTCATTTGAGAACAGTAACAAAAACTGATCAGCTGACTACAGCCATACCAGACTAATATATAAAAGAGAGGGTGCTATATCAATAAATAAATACAGAAAAGAGGTTATAAAACAAATTATAGGATTGTTACCAGGCGCAGGGCAGGGTTATAAACATAAATCAGAATGCAGATCCACCACCCTTTGACTTTCCGAGCAAAACATCTTTTGCCTCATTGATCTTGGAAGCAAGGTAATGGCTTCCCCCTGCATCCGGATGGTTTGCAACCATCACCTTCCTGTGAGCTTCTCTAATCTTGTCTGGAGGAGTACTTTCCCTGCCAAAATAAAAAAGAAAACAATAAGAAAACCAAAAATGATGAGATCAATTTTATTTTTTGTTTTTGTTTTTGTTCCGCACTTCAATTGGTGCATGAGATATTTGACTTCCACAATCAAAGCAATGTCCATATAATCGAAAATATCTCCATCACCAAATCTGGATGCAAATGGTCTTCAATGCGTAGATGCCTATCGAAAGCACATCAATCTTAACTCGAAAATCACTTGATGTTTCATCTTGTGGGCGGAAATGGGTGTGGAGTTTACATCAAGAAAGACTCGCCATCGGGCTCAAAATTAGAGAGAGGTGCACATCAATCATGGTATCCCATACAATAAAGTCTAGGAAGTTATGCTAAAGATGAAGGATTGAAACAACGAAGATGCCACAAATCCCAATTCTTCGCAGCAGTGTCAACCATGATTGATAAGGTTGCCAAAGTGGTTAGCATGGTTGCCATAAATAGCAACAAAGCACTTCCAAGAATTATATTCAAGTGCAACTTGAGCTTCATGCAAAATGCCGCAGTTCAGATCGCCATCATGAGTTAGGTTGTCTCCATCATCCGTCATGGCATTTTGATGCAAAGCTTACGTAGAAGGATGATGGGAATGGAGGCGGAAAGAAAAATAGAGAAAACAAACTTCTCCACTAAATATGATAAAAGAATATTTCATAAATGATGCTCTCAAGTCTGTTGTGATGATAAAAAATTTTGTTAACACACTCATTAATGATAAAATAACAAGTGAAAATGCCACGTAAGAAGATGAATTAATTATATAATTACCCTAATAACCAAGTGTCGCGTACCTCGGCCTGTTGGTTGGCTTCCACGGTATAAGACCCCTCGGGTTGGGGGTTCAAAAAACCCTCTGACACAGCTGGCCTTAAGGATGTGATACTTGAATTGTTAGGCATATTAGGGGGTGGCTGGAGGATCGTATAATAGCCTCTCCATTTTTTTTGGAAAAAAAAAAAAAAAAAAAACTAATAACCAGATAGTTTAATTTTATATGAATTAGATGATTAGTGGGCCAATAACAAAATATTTCCTCATTTTCTGCAGCGCTTCGTGTCTAATTTATATCTAGATTAGTTTTGAACATTCGAAAATTTTGTGCATGCAATAAAGTTGGTGCTACTAGCTTTTAGTTTGATTTAAGAATCAAGCACGGTTAAAATTTGTGAACTAACATATCAATCTTTAAATTAAAATTTTGTATTTACTGCTAAAAAGATGAAAAATGAGAAGCAAAAGAAAGAGAAGACACTTATTCAAGGAACATCCGACATGAGATCTTTTGGAATGACTTCCATCTCACACTAGTGTGAGTTTAGTACTTCTACAATATATTGGAAAGCTTTCTCTTTTCCTCTTGGGATAGATTTCAGGGGCATCTAATTGTGGTGAGATTTAGATTTAAGAGCAATTCCTAACGCACTATTTATTTTTACACATTAACTATAATTGTTTGATTCTTTTTGCTTGTCCAGTGGACATAAACAATTATTTTGGCCAAAAAATATCAATTTTGATTTCTTCTACTTTAGCTAATCATTGTGTTTTTATTTATAATTTTTATTTAGTGTTTCAACATAAGTAAGTTTTACAAACAATTGACTATGAGCTCAAGGAAAAATATGTTGGCGATGAGCATAAGATATCGATGTTTGATGGCTCGAGGAGTTTTGGGGCTCTAGAAAATTCATATGTGATATGTTAATCAACTACGGACTAATAAGAACACTCAGTATATGAATGAAGTAGATAATGAAGAGATGGATGAAAAAATTTCTCTCATGATTCTGCCATGTTTTGTGTAAGAGACGCTAATGAAGAACTTGGAACAAAATAAATCATCAAAGGGTTGTATATCAAGTTAGATATCTTATACATGACCATCACCAATAAACTTCATTATAAATAGGCATAGAAGCTGTTATACATACAAGAAACAATGATCATTAAATCACATTTTAATGAGCTTAGTTTCAATTTTAATGATTTGAAGGATATAGTTGTGATCATTAATGATGATAATTAAGCCATTGTTACACATGCACTTAATTGCCCAGATTCAAGTAATTTTGTGATACCATGTTATATGGTAAAGCTACAATTAGCTTAAAAATATAATAGGAAACTACTTTTTTCCTAAAAATATGATTGCTAAGTTTAATGGAGCGAAAGATGAAAAACAATATGAATAATTGATGGCAATGGGGGAGATCTATTGAAAAGGGGTCTGACTCTAATTCTGGTAGAAATAAGTCTCGTGGAAGATATAAGGATGTAGTCAGGTTTCTATTGAAAGAAGAAAAGACAACTGAAGAGATATTGCAATCTTTAAAGAAGTAGCAAGTTAATGAGAAGCAATATAAGATCAAGTTAGGAATGCTGTTATGAGCACAAAACGGTCAAATAGTGATTTAAGTGATAATCCTTTGGTCATAGAAAGAATCAAATAAATTGATCAATGATTTTTTTTTTTACTCGACTTTCATACCATATTGATCTTCATAAAAAATTGGTTTTCACTTAAGAGCTATATACTAAGAGTTTAGCTTTATATGTAAAACAACATAGTGTGCAAGATAGTTGACTTGCTGACTTTGGAATAGTGAAGTTAAGGGTACCAGATAGTGTGATTAGGATAATAATAATAGTTAGGGATGAATTTGAGCCTTATAGAGAATCTAAATCACTAGTTGTTCTTAGTAAAGTAAAATTTTAGATATCAAAAGAAGCTTGTCATTAAATTTTGCAAATATGCATTAATTTCCATGACTAAAGATTAATGTTCCACTTTGTGTTGCAAGAGACAATATCAAGTAGACCTGCATTAATATCACATCTTCTATGTTGAAGCATCATGACCAAGGTAAGACGCTACAGGAGCTTGGGAACTTAATGGATGATACTTTGGTTACTACTGACAATGGCACTCATCTTACCAATTTATTAGTTGGCTCTTTTCTTAGAACTAGAGGCAGAGGCAAAGCAAAATTGGGTCGCTCTCTAGCTACCTGATACTACATTTTTTGGCATTTTTTGTTTTTTTCTTTAGGTCTCTTGTAATTTTCTGTATTTTCTCTTTTTATTGAACCATTTGTATGTGGTAATTATCGTGGAGGAAGGGTGTCATGCTTGGGCACTTCTACACAATTTATATGTATCCTTATTTCTTTTTAATATATTATCCTCTGGGTTTTAATATATATATATATATATATATATATATTTAAATTTATCAATTTGTTGATAGATAAGTAGAAGGATTCTAACATGATCAGCTAGAATTTAAAGGACGATATGATGTTCACAAACAAATTTAAAAAACAAGCACATTTTGATGATTTGATCAAATGAAATTTAAATTACCTAAACACAAGCACATAGTAAACTTGATGGAGGTGGGTGGTCATTTGATGAAATAAGGAACTAAAATTTGCTTTTAATGTTTGTTATTAAATCTAAAGATGTGATGTGGAATTTTCTGTAGAATTTTAAAAGATTTAGAAGGGAATGGTGGCTAAAAAACCAAGACTACTCTGGATTAGGCTAGTTTGGGTTAATTTGAAGTATCTCTTTAAAAGAGTAGCTTAAGATTAGGTGAATGACTAGGAATGGTTATATGTGGTTAGCTTAGAATGTGTACTTATGATTTGAAGTAGATGAGTGGCTTTGAATGAGTTTACAATGGTGTTCAGAGTTAGGGAACAAGACTATGAATTAATATGCTCTTGCTTGGCCAAGAGCTATAAGAGTGATTTGGATTGGTTGTGAGGCTTTAGTTGTTGGTTTGTTGATATTATAAAAAGCTTAGGACGTGGATGAAAGAGTGGTGAAGAATTTAGAGCAAGTGTTATGAAAGATTAATGAGCGACTTAAAAGAAAAGCAAAGACAAATACTAATCTCACCAAAGAAAAGACAAAACTTGAAGCTACCAAGCAACAAACAACAATAAAGAATACTCTCACTCAAATATTTAATTCAACAACTGATCAAAAAACATTACATATCAATCATATTTATAGGGATTACAACGATAAAAAGTCAATAAAATGAGAAAAGTTTGAAGGGTGGTAAGTGGTCATTAATGGAGGAATGTGATAACCACCTTCCGAATTTATTATTTTTTAAGATCAATCATAAAAGCATCCAAATTTGAAAATTCAAACATTCTAGAAACTGAAATTGAAATATTAATAAAATACAAATTCAAATTTTCTTCTTGATAGAGCTCTTACGATGGGCCTTGATTAATGGGCTCTTAATTGGACACTTTCTTGGACTCTTGTTTGGGCTCCTGTATGTGGATATTTGTCTTCATTTGCTTGAGATTTTGAACGTGTTTTAGCTTTCACTTGATTCTTATAATTTATTCTTCATTTTTTATCATATATCATTGCACTATTTAATTCTCTTCCATACAAAATATGATCTTCATTTATACAAACAAACTTTATATTGTTCTACATCAAAACTTGCTCGAATTTGGCTCTTTAATACCCTATACAATGAGAAAAATATGTCAAAAGGCCCATACAATTAAGAAAAACTGACTTGCAATGCCTAAGGGATCCTTGCTCATCAAGTCCCAGGAGTATGACTCAAATTTCATATCATTGGATTCAAGACAAGGCTTTGTTGTTGCGCTTTGCGTCAGCATCTTACACAATTTTGAACTCTAAATCTATCACATCACCTTCGAGAAAAGTATCCCAATCACACAAATATTCATTATAGAACTTTTAGGGCAGATTTAATTAATGAGGGTTACGGAAAAACTGAAAAAAAAAGGTAGTAAAATTGATGAATCGCAAAAGCAATCTTAATTTACAAAGCTATTGAACATAAACATCTGACAAAATACTGCTAAAGAATGACCATTGCCATATGCCTCCAACTTCACACAATGAAAAAAAATGAAGGTAAAATTATACGGAATAATGAACGGAGGAATGCAAACTTGTTTCCAAAACATGAACTCATTGTTGATTCACTCAAAAAAAATTTTTAGCTCTATCACATAAATTGGAACACTTACCTGACCCCAAGTATAAGAGCAGCTTCTCTTCTAGTCATTGACGGTTGGAAACCACCCTCATAAAATTTGCGCATCCTTGGAACAATTGGTTTTGACTTGTATGCATGCCATGCCTGGACTCCGTATCGACCAGCAAGAGCAGCTGCAGCTACGGCAAGTCCAGCTAGAAGAGGAGTTGCCTGAAAGAGAATCAATTCAATAAGCTTATCAAATGGGATATAAGATGTCAACACATGCTGCTACTCTGGTATTAGGAATTCAAATGTGATGTCCAGTGGTAAAATCCATATAAAATGATAGCGCCAAAAGAAGGCCTAATAGAAAAGCCAATCCTCCCTGAAATCATCGCTTATTCCCTTACAAACAAGACCGCTATAACAAATTAAAGGTCATATTTAAAAGGAAGATCTACATAGAGATCTACATAGACACCACTCAATTCCTATGCATGTCATCGTACAACACCTAAATTTCAATTTTTTAGTACATGTCATCGTACCTATGCATGAAAACATGTATTTCACTTTTAAAAGTTAAAATGGCGATATTTTCTATGATGTGAAAGATTTGAGTGGTACAATTGTAAAAGGCAAAGTTTAGGTGTTACATATTTAAATATATAGGAATTGAGTGGTATGTATGTAAATGCTCCTATTTAAAATGGGCAGCCATAATTTCCGGGTCATAGTGAAAATGTAACATAACTCCTGCAATGAAACCCCTATAGACTGACACTGTCACCTAAAAGTAACTAAAAAAGAAAAAAGAAAAATAATGCAGCAAAGCTGTAGCAATTCGTGCAATCCATAAAAATATTCTCCATTGAATTTAGGTTACACTCCAAAATATTTGGCATTGTACAATCACAATATATGATCGAGAGAATTTGGGTTTGATACCAATGGGGATCAGCATCACAGAAATCAATTATTGGATTTTAGACAAGACAATAGGAAACCATAAATTGATCATCGATCAATCACCATTGAGTCCATTCTACAATACATCATAAATCCCATGTAGTTGTGATTGTTGAGAAGGTCATAGCAATTTTAAGACAATCAGAGATCCCATACGTTTTATTGCTTTTGACTTGCCATATTGGCTTACAACTTCAAAATCAAAAAGTGCATAGCTATGACCTTGTTTGGAATCAACTTTGCTTTTGATTTTTGTTTTTGTATTTTCTTTTATTTTTAAAAGTTTGTTTAGTGTGTTTTTTAAATGTTCTTATTTTTTTTGTTTCTTTCTAAAAACAAATTCAAATGTTCTTAAAAACAATCATATCCTAATCAACTACGTCAAATATATTTTGTTTCAAATCAAAACATAAACAAAATAAAGTTAAAAATAAAAATAAATAATAAAAAACAAAAGTGATCTCAAATGGCCCTTATGAGTTTCTCTCTCATACATACTTGTTTATAAAATCAGTGAAGCATCTTGCTTAAGGTTATTCCTGCTTCACCATGAGCATGAATGTTTGAGATTAGAGTAGCGGTTTGTCAACAAACAACAACAACAACAGCAACAACAGCAAGCCTTTTTCTCACTATGTGTGGTTGGCTACATGAATCCTTTTTCTCCATCGAGTCATATTGAGTGTCATATTTTCATTTAATTCAAATAAATTAAGATCATTTTTATACAAGATGCCCAAGTCATTCTAGGTTTATCGAGTTTAAAATATCTACTCTCCTAACCTGATCATCAAATGATAGACGTTTAATGTGACCAAACCAACTAAGACGACTCTCCAATTTTTTCGCCACCGGAGCAACACCAACCCTATCACGAATATATTGATATTGCATTTTCTCTGTAAGTGTCATGTCATTCATCCGCCTAAGCATTCTCATCTCGGCAACACTTAACTTTGTTTTATGCTTCTCTTTTAAAGGCAAACATTTTGTGCCATAGAACATTGCAAGTTTCACCACCATCTTATAAAATTTTTCTTTGAGTCTAAGCGGCACTTTCCTATCACACAATAGGCCCAAAGCACTGCTCCACTTTAACCAACCAACTTGAATTCTACTCATAACATCTCCATCAATATCACCATCAATTTGAACAATAGACCTGAGATATTTTAAGCATTCACACCTTTTAATGATTTGACCACCCATAGTTACAACTCTGTCACTAGAGCTACTAAAACTGAAATTACATTTCATGTACTCAGTTTAGTTCTAGTCAAACGAAGGCTTTTAGACTCCAATGTAGGCCTCCATAATTCAAGTTTTTGCTGAACTCTTTCTCTAGTCCTATCCACAAGAAGGTTAACATCAGCGAAAAGCATACACCAAGGTACATTCTCCTGTAAATGTCCAATAAGAGCATCCATAACTAAGCATCCATAAGTCCAATAAGAGCATCCATAACTAAAGCAAAATGATATGGACTTAAAGCTGATCCCAGATGTAAACCAGCTGAAATAGAAAAATATTTGGTCAATCCTCTGTTCGAACACAAGTAACAGCTCTAGTTACATATCATTAATGAATTGAATAGAAGTCATATCAACACATTTCTTCCCTAAGAACTCTCCAAGGATTTCTCTTGGAACCTTACCGTAAGCTTTTTCTACATCAATAAAAATCACATGTAGATAATCCTCATACCCTTTGTACTTCTCCATCAAACCTCTTAATAAATGTATAGCTTCCATGATAGGCTTGCCCGGCGTAAATCCAAACAGATTAAGAGAAATCTTTGTACAAGTCTTAACTTATGTTCATTTACCCTCTCCTATAATTTTAAAATATGACACATCAAGTTAATTCCTCTATAATTTGCACACTCTTGTGCATCCCCTTTATTCTTAAAAATAGAAACCAAAATATTCTTCCTCCACTCCTTAGACATCTTTCTAGTTTTTAAAATAATATAAAAGTGCAAAGTAAGCAAAGAAACTCTCAAAATCTCCTAAATATTTCACACTTCAATTGGGATATCATCAGGTCTCACTGATTTTCCACATTTAGTTTTCTTTAAAACCTCCTCAACTTCTTTTTTACTAATGTGGCGGCCAAAACAAAGTGGCAAAAACAAAGCATTTTATTATTATTAATGATATTAAGATCTCTAAACTTGAGTGTATTTTCAGAAACTTCATTGAAAAGTTTATCAAAATAGCTCACACACATATTTTGAATATTTTTTTCTAAGAAAAAACACATTTTGATTTTCATCTTTAGTTACTTTACTTGAGTTAAAACTTTACTTTTCTTTTCGCTTTGTTTGGCTAGTTTACACATATATTTTTCACCCGCTTTAATATCTAATATATTATCAAAATCACTAAAAACATAATTTTTAGCGTCACAAATTGTTCTCTTAGATTCCCTACAGGCTACCTTATACTTGTCTCAATTCTCTAAGCTTTTACATTTAAACCAATTTTTATAACACAACCATTTTATATTGTACCTTTTCTTCTACATTATTATTTCACCACTAACTATTTTTATTTATAAAAACTTTTTATTTTGATTCTCCAACTACATATATTATCACTTGTTTAATAGTGTGTTACTTTATCCCACATAGAATTTACTTTTTTTTTAACGTCCTAAATTTAAAATTTTAAACTTTATTCATAAAAATAATTTTATTTATCTTTTAGATGTTTCTTCTAATTTTATGACAATGATTATAAGTATTTTTTATCTTACAATGCTTCATTTTAAAATCTAGAACTAATAATCAATTTTGAATACTTAAATTCTCATTTGGAATGACCTTACAATCTTTACATTCTCGACAATCTCTTATCATAAAAAAATAATCAATTTTTATTTTATTAGATCCATTCTTGCCCATCTTTTTTCTTAAATAAATTATTAGCGATAACAAAATCATACGCTAAAGCAGAATCTAATATTGTTATACATTCTTCATTAATCACTCAAAAACCGTAACCACCATGAAAATTTCTAAATTCTTCTACTACTCTACCAACATGTTCATTTAAATTTTTTTCATTAAAAATTCTTCTTTCAAAAGATATCATTTGTATTAATTCTTATAAGTCATTCCAAAATTTTTCTTTAGAACCTATATCTAATCCTACCTCAGAAGCATAAGAACTAATAATATTAAAAATCTTAGTATCAACAACAATCTTAAAGGTTATAATTTTATCTCCAATTCTATTAATTTTTACAATATTATCTTTCAAACTTCATACGACTCCAACAAATTTGTATCATTCGACACGAATCTCGAGGTAACATTTTGAAAAAGAAGATTTCAAACCTTGATTATAAGTCATTCAGTGCTCCGATTTCAGCAAACTTATAGTTAAACTGACCAGCTCGACGAAATAGACCAATGATAACAAAATGGGTCAAGTTTAAGTCAAATCAAGCCTCGATCAAAATTTTATACTGCTTTCGGAAGCATTTCGGACATATTTGAAAGGTCAAAAGAATGTTGAATCTAGCAAGCCTATAATTAAATCGAGCGTCTTGACAATATGAATCCAACGAGCCCAAGATCGATCAATTCTAACATCGTTAAGGCACTCAAATGTCCATTAAACGTCATTTGATCGAAAAAAGTCCTCTGAGTCATCCAATCAAAGTGGCTCGTATCTCTACATTAATTGCACCCAAAACTTTAAAAATAGAGTCACAACCCTCTCATGAGAGGAGGAGAAAGCTTGAGACCTGGAAAAGGAGATCCTGAGGCTTGAGAAAGAGCTTGAAGCTTTGAGAATAAGCTTAAATCCAACATCACTACTATCGCCGACGACCACCACCACTGACCACAGTCGACCGTCGTCTACCACTGTTGACCATCACCTGTCGGTTGTCGCTGATCGCGGTCAATCGATGTCCGTTCCTTGCAATAAATTCATTTGCACGTTAATTTTATAATTGAGAAGATTTTGTAATAGTTTCTCGTCTGTGGGACAAGGGGTCTCTATAATCAATAACTTACAGTGAATTTTTATATATGGATCAGACCCCGTGGTTCTTCCCTTTTTGGATTTTCCACGTAAGAACTTCAGGTATCTCTACTGGTTGTTTTATTCTATTTGTGTGTATATTGAACCTTCGTGCAAGGCTAAGACAACAAACTATTAGTCTACCACAGTGAATCCTCTAGCACTCATCAAAACTCTTATTTATAATTGCACCGACATCATTTCTAGTGTGACTCCAACCTGAATACCAAAGTTTAAAACCTAAGCTATCAATCTCCTTAGCATTTTCTCAACTCATTTAGTTTCTTACTTACATAAGATATTTATTTTTTAATAAATCATAATATCAACTAATTTCATTAATTTACTTATGAGAGTACCTATATTCCAATATACTATCCTAATATTAGTTTCATAGACTAACTTCTTTACACGTATTCGTTTGTAATGTGGGAATTCTTACTTATTTTACATTACACCCGGTTGCAGGTGTAGCGACCCTTACAAACTTTTCACTGTATTCAGGTCATACAGCGCGTTGTTTCCAGGGGACGTCCTAGCAAAGATCAAAAGGATTCATGTCACGATTTTTTAATAAATTTTACGCCGATTATCGACTACCTAACACAACCCTCCGTTTTTCACATTCGGGACTTGGAACCCGACAATGACAGTGTTAACAGTTTGTCAAAATTAAAATAAAATTCATTCAACATTCTACTCAAAGAAGGAATGTTGTAATGAGTTGCTATTAACACAATTCATCCTTAAGCTTGTAGAATCCAAAGTAAAATATGGATATCATGCATTCATGCAAGGTAAGAATAACAATGCAACTGATGAAAATAAGAAAAGCTTCAACAAATGTTTAAGTGATTAACTAACATACAGAAATCGGAAGATCTAATCAAACCAAAATGATTGTTCAACTTAAACACGTTAGATAAAATGAATTAACAAATTGTTTGCATGAAGAGAATTATCAAACAAAATTTACATCAATTTTGTATAAAATAAAAAAGGAATCATTATGTTGAAACGTCATAGATGAATGATATGGTTTAAGAGAAGAAAAAAAAACTGCATATATATACTTAATTTTCTAGCATTTTTGTCGCAATATGCAATGGTAAATAAAATTGGATTACTCATTAATTCTTTCACCATATATTTTTGACAAAATCATATATGTGATCCCTAGTCATCATTTCCTTTTCAAACTTAAATATGAAAGGTTAGATTTTCATTTCATCATCAAACTTGGGGGTAAACATAACTCAAAAGATCTAGCTTCTAAGCAGCTTTAATATTGCATTAAAAGTAAAAAGTAAATTTTTCCAATACAAGCCAAGATAATGAATCACAAAAAATATCGCTAGCTCAAATTTATATTTACCCAAGTTCAAGCTCCACTAGATACATATAATTAACCATCAACAAGTACAAGCAAGGGTAGATTTTTCAATAAAAAAACTGAGCTTCTAACCCTCCAGATAATATTGCACAAAATAGTAGGAAAATAGACCTACCCAATCCAATTAAACTACTTTCAGTATCAAAAAATTTTACCCAACTTATGTATTTAAACTTTAATGTCATTGATTCGGTTAAAAACATAAACTAGCCTTTGTATGATAGATTACATCACAAACTTCAATGTTTCCATGTATCAGCTCAAGTCTTTCGAAGAATTAATCTCTTACTATAATTTTAGATAGTAATGTGATTCGTTGAGTAAATAGAAAAAAAGAAAATAGAGCCCCTCGCTGCATAAAAAATTATACAAAGTCAGAAATGATTGTGAAAAATGACATGAACTAAGGCAAAGAAAGGCTCAGGCAGGAGGCAGCAGCCACCTAATCTCCTTGCATGATTTGACCATAAACTTTCTCTCAAAGTTCAAAGCAGTAATCTTTATCTAAAATGTTAAGAGCAGAAAATAATTGAGAATAGTTGCTGGTTTAACCTTCCTCACCGTCCCCACCTTTAAGCCGCATCACCAAATAGGATTAAAATCTTCCAGATATGTCTGTTCTACAAGAAAACTCTTCCAGAATCATAATTTGCTTCCTTCCTATAGTGCCTCAGTGAAATGCTGCTCTCTCCTCAAACTAAGTAGTCCAAATTCATCTGATTCTTCATTATTCCTAGCAATTTGACATTTATTTCGGTTTTTCTACACTTAATCATTCTCTAATCAAAACAATGGTCATTGAATGACTAATCGGAATAATCATACACTTAGCTCCCTTCATTAGAAGATGAAAGGATCTATCTTAGTTCTCATTAACCATAGAATTCACAAAAAAAAAAAAGCAGAAAATAAAAATAAGCCATAAAATGTAGAGAATTTTAATTAAAACAATAAACTAGCAGAAACAGTCATTAATAACCAACGATTGCTAAAATTCTCATTACTCTAACGTGTACAAATTTGTTGATCTACATCATGAAATCTTCCGCAAACTCCAGAATTAAAATCTGTAATAATCTTATCAGAGAGAGAGAGAGAGATAGAAAAGAAAAGCTAAGCTTCGAATTAAGCCAAAAAAAAAATCCATTAATAGCGGCGAGAGGAGAAGTCGACGCCGAGCTTACCATTCTAATGGGGAAGCTATCAAGCGGGAGATGATGGGCATCGGAGGAAAGCTCCACTGAAACGGTTGGGATTTCGTCGCACAAACTGACCCAAACCCTAGGGGCCAAATTTTAAAAATAATTATGCTTTTTTAAAAATGTTAAAAAATTAGCATAAATAGGCATTAAACTTGTCTAAACTCTAAATTAATTTTTATTTATATCACTCAAATTTTATTTATTTACATATCTAACACTTACACTTCATTTTCTTACATACAAGTTATGGGTTCCGAAAATGCTCTCGATAGAACTTACTTGAGGTTTTGGGTCAAAGCTTGAAAAGGCAGATGACATTGTAATACTCCTTAAAGATTTTAATCTCCTAATGGCAGGACTTTAAGATTCCAGGTTCAAGGTTTTTCGTAGGCCAAAGCCCCTATGATTAATTATCATTTCTGAAGCGAGAGCACTTTCAATTAAGATTTGTCGTTAAGACGTTGATTACTAACATATAGTGCAGTAATTTAAAGTTTTATTTTGTGAAAATTGATTAAATTTTAGATTGTTGAAATTTATCACCACAAGCTTAAAATTATATTATTGGTGAAAATGATGATGAGTTTGATCAATATCTTATGGTTTTGTTATCTCGGTTTATCGTGAACCTAAGCATACTTAATCAAATACGATGCTCAACTCAACATAGCCAAATGATCCTTTTGAGTAGCCATGGGTTGCTTCATTCAAGATAACCTTATAGACTTGGGGGAATGCTTGTCTAGAGAGACTAATTTAAGTTGACGATAGTTAAGAAAGGATTTTGTGTCTTATCAAATATAACATATGATTCACGTCTCAATGAGCGAAAAGCAATTGAGGAACATATGAGTTACTCACATGATTCATGATTGTAATTTAATTATGTCATTTAGCAGCAAACTATCTGGTCAAAGAGCTCAAGTCTTAATTGGTCTTTTATGGAGTTAGTCAAGCCATACGAATAGAGGACACAGGTTACGTCCTTACTAGCATGTATTGATTTAAGATTAAATGTAGCAGTATACTTCATGTGACACTAAATTTACGGAAACTTTGATCAAACATAAAATTATCACCCTCGACAAACTTATGTGAATGGTGGGTAAATTTTACTTTTAAACTTTAAGTGATTTTTATTTTTTGGTATTTTCTATGTTTTTATGAATTTTATTTTACTATTTTATCACTTTCTATCAAAATTAAATCATGTTAATTTTACATTTTGCTTGTAATGGATCGCGTTTGAAACTAACATATGATTGAATCTAAACCTTGTCCTTTGCTCTGTCTGGAGAAGTTTGATTCTTGAATTATGATAGTTGAATTTATTTAGATATTTATTGGAACTTATTTTTTGAAAATAGACCCTACGATTAAAATTTTCAACTTTGTCAGTATCATCATCTAATTTGAACTGAATCTTGTCGACTCTGCCACGTTTAGAGACAATCGACTTCAAAGCGCTAAATTCATTTATTATATTATAGACCCTTTCAACTCTACCACATTCTATGTTTTAATACATGTTATTGTCATATTAAAGATATCAAATTTAGGTAAATTCTTTTAATAAAATCTTTTTATATTTCTTATGAATGAAACACTCCTTATTGCTTGCATAAAATTCAAATTTAATACTTTGTCAATGTAGTCAACTCCAATCCTAATTGAAAGGAATATCGAATTGGCTAAACAAGGGCTCAGTCTTATCGACTCTAGTTATAATCAAGATGAAGATAAGAATGATCGAGTGAAACTTACAATCCTGCCCTATAGATAAGGCGGCCTGCTAAAGATTGTTGACTTATGAATTTGGATTTTAGACTTCAAAATAAGTTTGAAATCTTCAAAGTGATTTTGTACTTTTGAATCACTCGCACGCTTCTCGAAACCAACATAAAATAATTATTTTAATAATTTCACACACTTTTCAAAGTAAAATATTTAAACATTCACTTCAAATTAAACTCGTGCATCAGCCTTGGACCGTACAATCGAGCATCTAACATCGTGTTTAGAGCACATATTGGTTAAAATTTTATAGAATATGCATGCATTCTATATATGTTAAGTTGTTTCTAACTTTTAGATACATCAAGGTCACATATACATTTAAAATATTTATCTTTACTTGAGGACTTAACTGTATTTGCACAACTCACTGCTAGTATAATTGTGTAGAGAGTTAAATAGATTCACAAAATCTACCTACATTAATATAACAAGAAGTTTGCGCCTACAATAAGCGTGGTGTTGAGAGCATTTGCATATAGGCAGGCCGACTTTCCATGTTTCTACTCATTGGGATTTATTTGGCAAGCTATTTGGATTCAGGCAAATGCCATGTGAAGTAACAAGTTCAAATTAGGTGACTTAAAATACCATAATAATATCTTGTATAATATCCAGATGAAATGAGGATAAAGTACGAGAAGTTAAATAATCATAAGATCAGACGATATTATTTGGACATCAAATCTTGATAGTATTATAGTGTGGTTGCCTAAGGTTTTTTTTAATAGTGCATGCATATGGACAACTTGTGTTCATCTTATTAGTTGAAAGTATGTTAAGTGGCATCTTCAAAAATATGTAATGTGACAGTTTTCACGTGTACAATTCATCTCAATTCAACTATAAATTCAATTATGAAATATGATGCATTAACCTAGAGAAAGATTAATGATGCATAAATAATTTTATGTTCAATTTATGTTTGTTTATCATACCTCATCTTGATAAATTTAATTAGTAACTTATACATGTGGACTATTTTATATTATTAAAGAACATGGCTGTGATATTTACAGGGGACAAGGTGAAAATGTTATTGCTATTCAACAAGGTTACGATGAAAACATAGAACTCTCTAGCAACATATATCATTCAATTTATCTTGAGTATAGCATTTATGACCAACTAATACAGTGTGCTTCCCAATTGGAGCCTATGGAACACATACATGATTCCAAAACCCATGAAGATCAACTTATGAGATTGCAAGACGGTCACAAGCTAGCATTTCAAAAATATCAACTGTAAATTCTCGAAGATCTTTTGTAGGCACTATGCGGAGATCCACCATTGAGGTGTCGTATGAGCATGCTTATCTCGACCCCTCACCATATGCAGGACGTTTGATGTCATATGATGGTATATCTCGTGCTTCATAGCAAAGAACTACTGAGGGTGGCCACTTTGATTTACAATTTCATATGGGACCTGATTTTGGTAGACCTCCAATCTATACGTCAGTTGCCATCATAAGTGAAGAATACTTGATGCGACAAGAGACTCCAGTTGTTGCATCAACTAGATAAAAGATAGAAGGCAACGAATGACAACGTCAGTTGTGAGAATGACCATTTTGCCCACCATCAACATCTAAGTTAGATTTAATAATAAAGATAGATTAAATTATTTTTAAAAATTGAAATTAAATATAAGACACCAACTTGAAAAGTAAATTAAATTCTTCAATTAAAATAAATTATTTATGATTCAAAACATTTACAGCTATAAAGCATAGTAGATATATTTTCAAATTAATTTGAAATTAAACATAAATAATTAGTGAAGCTTTAATTATCAACAAACCAACGCTTCATGAGAAAATTAGGGCAAATAGATGCTCTTTAAGAGAATGTTTCCTTAAGAAAATAGCTTCTTATCATCGTCGCTTTGCAATGATGCCAAATTCCATTGGCAAATTTTCTTAAAATTGCTATAATCAATCTAGATGACAACACACTGTCATACCAAGTCCAATAGATTCATGGATAAGGGCCTGGAAGGATAAAATATTTCGTCCGGACACCGCACGTCTGGACAGTCAATCACCGACAACCACTTTAGCATACACATCATTGGCGGGTAACATGCAGCCAGTGGTTGCCTAACTGGACGTGCGGACATTTGAAAAAAATATTTTTTTCCTCTATAAGACACAAATTAATGGAACAGAAGGGAGATTTATGCATATACCACAAAGTCATATGTATTTACAAATCTAATGCTCAAAGTTGAATATTTATATTTATAACATTTTAGTGTTATAATCACATTAAAACTTGCATGATAAAAAAACATATTGCACTCTTAAAAAAAATTAATGATTATGATATTTTTAGGGCCCGTTTGAGACAATTTATTTGGTGCGATGTCGTTTTGAAAACGCACTTGACCTGTTTGGATAAACTTGTTTTGACAGCTTATGTTTTGACAGCTTATGCATTTTGAAAACGCTGAAAACAACGTTTTCACACCACACCTTACAATTGTCTGGCTTTTCCAAAAAAAAATAAAAATTTGTAATAACCACCGCACCTAACTTATTAGCAAATTATTTTTAACCAACTTATCAGCAGATTATTCAATAAACTACAACTACCCCAAACACACACTTAATGTGATGTTAAAATTTTGAGTATTAAACATATAAATATTAAAATTTAGGTTTTAGTTGTGTAAATGTTTGAATGAATTTTGGGTCATTTAAAACCCCCTAAAAAGATTATACCAAACCATGAGATAGAGATCAACCCTAATCAAGGGTTTCCGGGAGGGAGCAGAGGAAAAAATATTAAGTCCTGATCATGGGTTCACAGGAGGAAAAAAAATATTAAGTATGGAGTCCAAATGCAAGTTACGTGTTCGTACAATGACTATGATCCACAAGAACAACATACCGGGCAAAGATTGCATCCGAACTCCGGATGTAAAATTTTGTCTAGAGGCGCTGACTCCATACAAAAGCAAAATGAGAGTGGGAATTATAATCTACTCAATGAAGCAAATGATAAGACTACTAAAAATTTAACTAGTTATTAGCTCTTTAGCACAAGAAAAAAATAAATTCATATCATCGACCCAATATGCTTTGTCTGAATCTAAAAAATGTATAAATCTAAATTTAACAAGCAGTGCAAGAAACATGATGAAAAAAGAGCTGTTAAAAAAAAAAGCAGTCTTCTCAACTCAACCAAATTAAACAGTCGCATAAAACAAAAAGCATAAAAGACACCAAAACCTCACCGCCACAGCATATCAAGCACCGGATCTGGAATCTGATACTGGAAAGCTGCACCGGATTAGACCAACACAAAGACAACCTTATAACATAAACAAGACTAAGGAGTTATTCATTTCAGCTTTATTTCTTCTTGGCAGCAGATTTGGTAACCTTGGCTCCACTGGGATCCTTCTTCTCCACGCTCTTGATGACTCCGACAGCCACAGTTTGCCTCATGTCCCTCACGGCGAAACGGCCTAGTGGAGGATACTCGGAGAAGGTCTCGACCACCATAGGCTTCGTGGGAACCATCTTCACGAAACCCGCGTCGCCATTCTTCAGGAACTTGGGCTCCTTCTCGAGCTCCTTGCCAGACCGCCTGTCGATCTTGGTCAGGATTTCGGCAAATTTGACGGCAATGTGGGAGGTGTGGCAGTCCAGCACGGGAGCATAGCCGTTGCCAATCTGACCAGGGTGGTTCATTATGATGACCTGGGAAGTGAAGTTAGCGGCTTCCCTGGCAGGATCATCCTTGGAGTTCGAGGCGACGAAACCTCTCTTCAGATCTTTTACTGCGACATTCTTCACATTGAACCCGACATTGTCGCCAGGGAGGGCCTCCTGAAGAGCTTCATGGTGCATCTCAACGGACTTTACTTCAGTGGTGAGACCGGTGGGACCAAAGGTGACTACCATGCCAGGCTTCAAAACGCCAGTCTCCACTCGACCGACAGGGACGGTTCCAATACCACCGATCTTGTAGACGTCCTGAAGGGGGAGTCGGAGGGGCTTGTCTGTTGGCCTCTTGGGCTCTTGGATCAGGTCGAGAGCTTCGAGAAGAGTTGGACCCTTGTACCAGTCAAGGTTTGTGGATCTCTCTATCATGTTGTCACCCTCAAACCCAGAGATGGGAACAAATGGAATCTTCTCAGGGTTGTAGCCAACCTTCTTCAGATAGGAGGAGACTTCCTTGACGATTTCATCATACCTAGCCTTCGAGTACTTGGGGGTGGTGGCATCCATCTGTTAGACATCAAATAAAACCCACATGAAACCTTCCTAAAGTTGTTCGGCGATCAACATGGACCATTATTATTATGTGTGATAAAAAGGATTTACCTTGTTACAGCAGCAAATCATCTGCTTCACCCCAAGAGTGAAAGCAAGCAGAGCATGCTCGCGAGTCTGGCCATCCTTGGAGATACCAGCTTCAAAACCACCAGTGGTGGAATCAATGATCAGGACAGCGCAATCAGCCTGAGAAGTTCCAGTAATCATGTTTTTGATGAAGTCGCGATGGCCAGGAGCATCAATAACAGTGCAGTAATACTTGGTGGTCTCGAATTTCCAGAGAGCGATATCAATGGTGATTCCTCTTTCACGCTCAGCCTTGAGCTTGTCTAGAACCCAAGCATATTTGAATGACCTCTTGTTCATTTCAGCAGCCTCCTTCTCAAACCTCTCAATCACACGCTTGTCAATACCGCCAAGCTTGTAAATGAGATGGCCGGTGGTGGTGGACTTGCCGGAATCGACATGGCCAATGACCACAATGTTGATGTGTACCTTCTCCTTACCCATGGCTGGAGAAAACTACTAGCTAGGCAGGAGAATGACAAATATAAAATTAGAAGAGACATCAATATTGAGCAGTAAGATATAATTTCCACTTGCAGGCGAAAAAGTATACTATAATTGGCATTTAGGAAGCCTAAATATAGAAGCTTCCACTTTTTGAGACATAAACCAAACATCATAAGTTTACAACATAATTGTAAATATCAAAGCACGAAAAGAAAAGAAAATTTTAAAAGATCAAACTTGCAATAACATTTATAAAATTACAAAAAAATATAATATCATAAGTAGGAAAAGTACTTGGTAGCAAAACATTCTGCTAAAGAGAAATGATTAACTACTACGTTTTAACAAAAGAATGTTGCGAATTCAGTCATCACCAGCTTGAACAGGCAGCATAAAAAAACAAAGAGTTTGCCTCATAATGTAAAATATGCAAATAAACAATGAAAGCGGTAAAGCTAATTGTTGCTGAGTAAAAACAAGGGAATCAGATTGCCAAAAAAAAACCCCCAAGAAAACAAATTAACATGGAGATAAGCCGTTGGGTTTTCTCCTAGTTAAAAAACAGATTGAGAAGAAACAATTGAAAAAGTAGTTTACTTAGCAATTTCAAACTACGATGAAATAGCTTGCTAAAGCAAATTTCTTTTTTTTTTTTCAGTCAAAGCAAAAATCTACCTTTTGACAACTTTTTACTGCCGGAAAAAAGTAAATTCTTGCTAATTTTCACCTGGGCGAATGGCTTAACTGACACTTGGCACAATAAGTAGACACATGACGTGACCCTCAAATACTTAAATGGTTAAATTCTAACCAGGCTTATCTCACCAATGCATGGCATTAAACCCACTTAATTATAACAAAAAGATAAATGTCAAATAAGATTTGATACGCAAATAACAAATTTCCATATATAGTTTTCAACGCAAAAATTTTTGGTTTCTCTATTGATTGTTCTATTTTATCTGAGTGCGCCGGATTCCCGTACAGCTCTAAGACAATATCTCGTTAATCTACCGCTACAAATTTTCTAGCACGCATTGGGGTTTAAACCTATTCAAAAGGTAAAAAGCACCGATAGATTTAATGCTCCATAGGTATTATAAAACATATGCTTATCATAACAAATTTCACTCTTAGCTAATAGTAATAACTAAAAAAGAAACCTCAAACTAAACAAAGGAAATCAAAAGCCGACCAACTATTGAGCTCTTATTAAACAATATAAAAGTAACAAGTGTTTGTATAACAGTTTTAACTAGTGTGTCAAAAAAAACTCGATGTTCATGAGTAGCTCAATTTTATGTTCTCCTTGTTCATCGTGTAAAAGAACAAAATTGGAACAAACTTCGAAAGGTCGTTTGCTCAACAAGTCAGGAAATATATAGATATGTTGCATAACTTCTATTGACACATGCATAAAAGCTTAAAATTCATTTCATAGATGTTTCTTAAAATTTAACTAGATATAAGGTAGGCCTCATTATATATTTCATATTCTATTATGCTTTCTAGCATACAAATAGCAGATTTGCTACATGAAATCAGTTTATCAAAAAAAAGTTGGCATATCTACTGTACTCAGCTATGATTATTACTCAAAGTCAGCTCTTTATAACTTGATAATGATTTTTAGAGATAAATATAACAAACACGGTTCGACATATTAATGAACTAGGCCTCATTCATGTTTGCCTCAATAATTGACAACCAAGGTAAACATAATCCCAACCAGTTCATGTTTCACTGGTTGGTAGCCTTAATTTTGAAGAAGGGTTGAGACTGAGACATGTTGATATAACATGTCTCAGCATGTGCTCATATATGTCCAACAAACGAGACATGTTGATATAACATATTAAAAACTACTAAATAAATGAAGGGCACAAAAATCGAACATGTATATTGTGAAATAAGTAAAATAGCATTGATAGGATAAATGAATTATGTGCATGAAATGGTGGCTCGATGTTTAGTAGGCCTTTCCACCAGCACCAAAAAATCTAGTGCTCTAAGATTACCAACAAAAAAAATAAGAATTATTAAATCAAATTTTCATTTTAAGTAAAGATCAATGAAATTTTCTAATAATTTTATCCTCAAAATCGCCTCTTGTAATCTTAATTTTTATATGTATTTTGTAGAACACATTATTTATCATATTGTAAACACTTTATGTTCATTTAATTTGTGCAATTATTATACACGCACACACATTTTTAGTCTTATGATTTAAATAATAGATATATCACACGTCCATGTCATAATATATCTACATTGACATTATAAAATGCATAGGTCATATGCTATACAACATAATGACCTAACTATACTTTAATAGAATTTAAAATTAATACTCCATAACATTCCCTTAATCACATAGGGTTCCAGCGGCACACTTCAGCTTTAAAACCCTCACTATAGATGTAAAACCTTAACCTCGACTATATCCCCATTCTTCTACATGATAGGTTCAAGCTACATGATACTTCTAATTTACTTAAAACTAATGAAACTTGATTCAAATATAGGCTACACAAAAAAATGCTATGAACTAGATTATAAACAATCAACCAAAAAAACAATAATCTTTGTCATTTGTTTACAAAACCTACAAGTATTGTATACTGAAATTTTTATATGAATAATAAAAATAGAATCTTTTTTTGTTTATTTATTTATTATTGGAAAATAAATTCCATGATGGCATCAAAATATTATAAAGCAAAATTTCCTGATGAATTATGTCTGTAACAACGAAAATAGCTATGTAAACAAAAGTAAAAAAAAAAAAAACTTTTGCAACAGTTAAAACCATAAAAACCAAAACTTTCAAATCGGTGGAAGAAAGAAACGGAAATTATAAATTTGTGTTTACGCATCAAATCCAACAAGAATATCCCACATATTCATAGTTAGATCGAACTAATCTTCAAACAAATATCTTACGAAATTTTACAAAAGCCGCATCATAAGCCACAGCGATAAATCCTCAATTCGCATCAAAGTATAAGAAAATAGGAAGATCTGTCAATCAAAGCATCAAAATATTCCATAACAAAGAATCGCAAGCAAGGAATAGATTTCCATTGAACAAATAAAGATTAAAATCAAATACGCTTCCTAAACTCCTGATTCAAATCCACTGATGATAAAAAATAATCTACGAAGTTAAGAGAATCTCACCAAGAGGAGACGAAGGCGCGGCTCTGCCGACGAGAGCTCGGAGCAAAATTAGGGATTTGAGCGAGGTATCAATTCTTCATGGTCTCCTTAAATAGCAATCCGCTGCCGTATTAACAACTTTGAGACTCTTCTCTACCGTCCGATCTAACATCAACTTTCATCCGATGGCTCTCCGTTGGTTAATTTACTACCGTTGATGCCCATCCCTACGGTCAGGTGCTTTTGCCAGGTGTCCTTTTCCGGTTCGTGTTTGAACGTTTTCCAGTTCTCCACGGGTTTTATTATCAAAAAGTTCACTCAATTTTCTACCCGCGTCTGCAGCCACTCATTATGGAATATAGTATTGAACATTGTTTTGCGGTCACTTTTTCAAGTTGCAGCGACGTTTCTTTCCGCGGGAATGCTAACTAGAAGCATGTTCGGACGATTAACTACCAGCAATCACATCTTTGTACACTTCATCGGCAGGCAACATGGTCACTAATAATTGGTCGTCTGAATTTGGTGAGATTTTGTTAAGGCTTTTTATTTTTAAATTGACACGCTTCAAGTATAGAACTTTTCGGAGCTGGAGGACATGCTCAACTATCGAGCCACTGTCTCATATGTTATTTGTAAAAATTTTATTAATCAATGCGGTATTTAGTTGCAACTAAGTTTTACTTGAAGTAGGATTTATCAAATGCGGTAAATATAGATTTATCTTCAACGGCGAAGTTTGCTAGCGACAATGGAATAAATCCGTCTCACAATTAAATTTAATAAATTTAGAATTATGTCGGGAAAAAGACGAAACAAGAGGAAAAAAAAAACAGGACCTATGAAAATTCGATTTAATGTTTGATTTTTTGGTGTTTGGATGGTTTCTAAATCCATCGCTAAAACTTATTAATATTGTGCTACCAAACACTGTCTAAATTTGGGGAAAAATTTGCGTACATCAAGGGGTACGTAGAGATACGTACATAATAGGGTACACGAGGTTCGTACATAATAGGGTACACGGGGTTTATACGAGGATTACAAGAGGGTTATAACCCGTTGTACCTCCCGTGTAACTCCCGTGCAATATAACTCCCATGTAACATCCCGTGTAACTCCCATGTAACATCCCGTGTAACCCCGCTGTAACCTTGCAATCTCAATGTATAAAATAAAAGCGCGGGTTACAGCTGAGTTACACGAAAGTTACAAGAAAGTTATAACACGCTTGTAACCTCATATAACGCCCGTATACCCTATTATGTACGCATCTCTGCGTACCCCTTGACGTACGCAAATTTTTTTCCTAAATTTAGCTTTGGCAACTCGAAATTCACTGGCCAATATTTTTCTTTTATTTTATTTGTTTTTTTAGAAAATTATTAATATAATGATTTCACATATATGATGGATCATGTGAGCCTCTATTTATATATTTAGATTGAGAGGCAACATTATAACAAATGTTGCATTTAAGGAACACAAACAAGATTACATAGTACAATTTAACAAATGATTGCTATAAAATAAATAAATTTAACTAACTACTAACTATTATAATATATAGTTGGTTCATAGTGTAATATTATGTCACTCAACCTCCTCAAGAGCACTTTTGGGTCACAGTAGATAAATTTTTAGATTCATAATCATCATCATAGGACTGAAGCCAATCTTTAGAAAATCAAGGTGCTTATGACCATGGCACCCCTGAGGAACTTTAAAGAGTTATGATGCTCAGAAAGACAAATTGCAGCCTTATCTCAATATTCAGCTTGCCTTAGAGATAGTGGAACATCATGCTACATTTAGGATGTGTTTGACGTAGTTTGCACGTTTCAGGATAAGTTATTTATCCTGAAATACGGCCCGCAGGAACGAGATTTCAGATAAGCTGGCAAAACGCGCGAACCAAACATTACGGCGGAGCTTTGAAAACATTGCCCGCACTTATAAGCTATCTCAAACGGGCCCTTAAATAACTTAGAACATCGCCCAAAGAAAATTATTATATACATATTTTATTATTTTTCTTCAAGAGAAAAAAATGGAGCATTCCTTAAATTTAATATCTTTAATACAAAAATAATGTTCATATTCTCAAGCTTACTTTATTGGTGTGTCTACATCATCATATTAAAGTTGACCTAACAAAAATCAAAATCATCCAAAAGATTGATCAAATCAAAGAATTACATTTTTACCTAAATACCTTGAAAATATAGAAGAAAAGCACCACATACTCCATCTCAATTATGATGCAAGTTATTCAGAATAGAGAATAAGAAAAGCATCCCAACAAAATCAAAGAAAACAGCACACAACCAAAACAATTTGCAAGAACAAACATCCAAAATATTAAAATTACAAAAATACCTCTAGTCAAGAAAATTCTTATGGCTAGATTGTCTATCTGCCTGTTAATTTTGAGAGAGTTTTAGGCATTCTCTGTTACTGGATATTCAAACACGACATCCTTCCCACAGAGCTTGCGATAGACTCCTGAAAAGGTCTCCAGTTTGTACTCCGTGTTGTTGCGCTCCTTCGGGTCGAGGAAAATCTGCAAAATAAAAAGATGGAACATTTACAAACATACCGCTCAATTCTTATGTATTTACATATCCAACAACTACACTTTCATATTTACATTTATAGTACTTAAATCTTTATCACCACATCAAAAAATTTCATCATCGCTAGCTATATAAAAATGAAATATGCCTTTTCCATGCATAGTTTTACGACACCAAAGTGTTCTGAAAGTAAATATCAAACTTGAGATTTTAGATATGTATGTAAATTTTCCTATGTAATTTTTCCTAAAAGGTATTGTAATAAGAATCATATTAAGATAAATCTGGGGCATTTATATGCATACCACACAATTCTTATGTATTTACATATCTAACAGCAAAGCATTCATATTTCATTCATGGCGGTCAAATATGTAAATATCGTCACATCAAAAAAATCATCATCATTATTTTCAAGTGAAATGCAGGTTTATAGCACCAAGGTGTTTCATAAGTAAATGCATAAGAAATGTGTGTGAGTGTGGAGAAAATTTTACGTCCAAATACCGCACGTCTGGACGGTCAACCGTCGGGCGACGTAACGCCCTGCGGTTTGCCGTCCGGATGTATTTTTTTTTTTTGTGTCTGTGTGTGTGTGAGATATTGTGTGATGATGGGACAATGCAAAATAATACTATTTTAACTAGGAAAATTTTAGGGGCATTTAGATGCATGAAACCCAATCCTTATGTATGTAGATATCTAGCACCTAAACAATACTTGTTAAATTTATACAATCAAAATCTTTCATATCACATCAAATTCATCCCTATTTTAACTTTTAGAATGGGGAAATACACTTTTTCAGGCATAGGTAAAGTGGAAAAATTGAAATCTAGGTGTTAGATATGTAAGTATATAAGAATTAAGCGATATGTATTTAAATCTTCCAATATTTTAAGAGTTGCAAAAAGAAAGCTTCAACGCAGCAAAATAGATTCAACGTTTTGCAAAGAAAAGTTGATACAAATTGGAAGATTTACACGCATGCCACTTAATTTCTATGTATTTACATATCAAAACTTCAATTATCACAGGCATACCAGCTTACCTATACATGAAAAGATGTATTTAACTTTATAGGAAGTTAAAATTGCGGTATTTTTATATGATATGAAAGATTTTGGTGGTTTAAGTGCTAGATATGTAAAAACATATGAATTAGGCGGTATAAATGTAAAAAACAAGTTCTAACAAAATTTAGAATATCCTGACCTTCACAATCTTGGAGCCATCCAATCTATATCTCACACGTTTCCCCACAATCTCTGCAGGGTATACGAGGTCTTCAAGTATAGCATCGTGAACGGCGGTAAGGGTGCGGCTGCGAGGGCGAACAACAGAAGAACCTTTCTTTGGCGGCCTCACAATCCTCCGAGTAGCAACAATAATGACATCCTGAAGATACACAAACAAAGGCATAAATTTTGTCATTTGGAGTATAACATCAACAAAAATACATGATTTGTTAATATGATGAGAATTTGAATGGGAGAACTAAAAAGATTCAAATTATTATGAGCTTTATGCAGCTATGCAAAACATTGATATTGTAAACATTACTTGTTGCCTGAGGATTTCATCCAATGTTCTAATCATCAAGTATTGAAATATCCAAATTCAAGAAAAAATTTAAATATAAAAATGCTAAATGAGTTGAATTTCAGTAAGAATGCACATTTATTTTGAAGCATTGTGTTGTAGTTGAATATTAGTATATTAATGCAATGAGCATGGTTGCCATTTTGCACACAATGAAAATTAATAGTATTTCATTTTAATCATGTTAAATCAACAATATGTAACTTTTAAAGTCTTAAATGACAAGTATTAAGACTTCAATCTTAATTGATCAATTTTTAAGAAGGATTTATGATTTAGAATCACAGCATTTTTAAGAGCTCATTTTGGCATTTTGTATTCACTTAAGAGATTTGATCTAGAATTGCTTGTTTGCAGTCTTATGGGACATTTTAGGTGGAATAAAATTAGAAACATAAATGAGGATAAATGTTGCCGGCCGAGATCAAAAAAGACCTAACATGAATTATTTCATAATACAAAACTCATCACACAAGTAAAAGGGAAATAAATATCACTAATTTATACAGACCTATTATATATTCCTTATTAGTCATGGGAATGATGTTAGCATATACATGGTGATAGAATTTCCATTAGCCTATAGGAGCTGACTACCTTTGTAAAGGATCATTTTTTATAAGATGCTGAATTAGTTGCATATGATAAAATTGCTAATGAATCTCATATACCAAAATTATATTTCAAAGTGGTGAAATTTTATAGCCGAAAATGTGAAAATTGTCGGTTATTTTAAAAAAACTCGGCAAAAATAATTCAATTAAAATTTCTAATTGCCTATAACATACAAACTAAATGACAAAATAAGGTCAATAAAAATTTTAGAAATTTAATTTAATCTATGATTAAAGGTCATGCATATGATTGTGATTCTATATCACCCATGACTAACTTTGCATAGAATTCATTTGTGGATAGGTTTATGAGTACTAATAGATTTCAACTCGAGAACCTATAGATCTTATTAAGCATTTTTTTGAATCTACACCGAAAAAATATGTGCAATCATTTGCACAATAAATGCATGAGTTGCATGAAAATATTAATAAAAAATTAATTATTATAAATAATAGTTAGAAGTTCAATATGCATGTGAAAAACAATTATGTGAATTTTAAATAAGATGATAAATTAACGATAAACATAAACCATGACATATTTTCTTCCAAAGCCTTCAAGAAATTAATTCCTAGAAAGATGAGGTTACATAAAATCAAACAATGCATCGCTTAATTCAAACTTCAATACCCTAACCTAAACTTTTTTTCATAAACCAAGAGTAAATTCCATACAATATTCTTTATTTTAATCTACTCTTTGTGAATTCGCATCCAACCCTATATTAGATAATATTCTTCATCTTTCTTAAAAGCAATATAAGATTATGAGATTCTATCCACAAGAGATGATAGATATCAAAGATATCTTGTGTATTAGCAAAGTTAAACGTGCATATTATAACTCATAGATTACTCTAGAGAACGCGTAGAAGTTATACCAAAAATTGTTATATGACTATAAAATGCTCAATACAACAATCAAAGCCAAAACCTTTCGGTATATAAATTTGATGCAATATCAAATTTTATACTCCCCCAAAAAAAAAAAAATTGAGAGATGTTGATTGATAACCTGAATAATGATTAATCTTATTTCTAATTTTTTTCTTTGAGGCAAACTCTCACAATTACAAAAAAAGATTATCCAAGGAATATAAAAAAAAAAATTCCAATGATAATTCTTTAAGTATTTTGTTTCAAGAGTGTGTTTGTAGTCATTTGAATGTGAATCTCTCATGTAGTGCAAGTGGCGACTACAGCATCCATAAGAAGTTATTTGTTCTATTAATGTTAGCCATGGATTGTGATTTTGCTAGATTCATTCCTTGTGGTATCATTCTATGTTTTTGGCAATTAGTCAACTTGCATGAGAACGATTGGTCGAATTTCATACAATCAAAATTTACTTTATTAAGGTCAGATTTTTAATTGCCATGTGTTATTGTTTGATCCTATGTTTCTATGCTAAACTTCTAAGGCAATCATTAAATTGCATTAAAAATGATTAATTTTGTTAAAATTGATGATCTGGGAGTAACAAATTTTAACCTTATATGCATGACTCTAGGCATCTTCTAATAAGAACCGAATCAATTTTCCACACAAAAACAAAAATGAGAGCCAATAATATTTTGTTGCAAGAACATCAAACATTCAACACGAATATAAATATAAGGACCTACAATTCGAGAGGTAGGTGATCACTCCCAATTCCTACAATTCGAGAGATAAGAATTCCCTCCCAAACCCTAACCCTAAAATTCACAACAATAATCTTATGCATAACCTCAATCATAAACATATTAGCCCTATTTATAATAAACCATAATAAATGACAAAAGCCTGAATTGCCCGTAGGTTAATAAAAGACAAAGTTGCCCTTAGGTGCCAATCTAACATTACTCCCCTCCCAAAAAAACACACTCCTCAAGGTGGAAAAAAATGGCAATGTTCCTCCTCCACCATAGCTTCCACTGTTTATTCATGCTTTGTCTCTTTGTCACATATTATGAGAACCTATAATGTTTGATTTTGCAACGGTGTCCTAGGATAAATTTCTCATCACAATGAAAACATAACACTTGGATTCGCTTCTCCCGGATCTATGCTTATGTAATGCGCTTGAGTGTCACCCTTGGTTGTGGCCCATGATTTTTGTCTTGTGAAGCTTCACGGTGGATTTTCACTATTTGAGCTTTTGGATTTGTTGTGGTTGTCGCAGTATGATATGGAGCTCCACCTGTGTTGCTCGTATCAGCAAGTTCCATTGCATTATTATCTTCAATCAACTACTTTAATTTCATAGTTTCTCCCAAGTCTCACGGTCTCAACTGGACGAAATGTTACATGTACGTAGGGCTTTAGATCCTTCATGAAGTTCCTCTTCAATATTGCATCAAAAATTCTCTTTAGTCATCCCGATAATAGCTTGAATCTCTAACTACTCCATAACAATCCCTTTTTGAGTCAATGCAAAGAATTGCCCAAGTATGTATCCTTCTCGGATGGCCCGAAAATGCTCCAACAAGCAATCCTTGAATTATTCTTAAGCTCTGATTGGTTGATGTTGTTCTCTCAATTGATAGCACGCTAGAGCCTTCCCTTCAAAACACAGGATCAGTGCCATCAATTTTATTCCTCTATCAACCCATTAATAACAAAGTATCTCTCCACGAGATAGACCCAATTGTAGGCATCCTCTCCTTCAAAAAACGATATCCTCAACTTTCTCATGTGCGAGTCTCCTCCCCCAATTCCCTTGATCGAAGCTCATTCCACACATAAAACGAGGGTTGGGTTCCCTTCCTTGATCCATATTGATTTATCTTCAACCCTAAATCCGGCGCTCCCCATAATCAGCTCGCCTGTTCCCATGAGCCCTAGAATTGCCTTATACCCGAAATGTTGTGCAACAAAAGGCACTCATGCAATTGGATGCAGCCCTCTATCGGAATCTCACCACAATGGTTCTCTATTTCGGGTCAAAATTTATCAAACTGATCTACTCCTGCCTCGAATCAACCATCATCCCATTCTATCTGTAGCCTCTCATTCGAACCGTCCAAATGTCGTGTCATTCCTTCCACGTGTTGAGGCTTGAGTCTGTTTATCATTTTTCACCTGATCTCGCAGCTTCAGATTCACTTGAGAGCGATGTTGTCCTAATGTCGCACGAATTGTTTTGATTGTTGTTGTTCGCGTCCGTTCCAAATGCCGTCACTCGATCCTGCTGCAGCCGATGGAGGGTTTATGTGTAATCTTCTTTATCATTTCTTCTATGGTTGTGAGTGCCCTCCTAAGAAACACTCCTCTATTCCATATCTAATTTGACTAACCTATACCGCTAGTTTTTCCTCCAATGCATTCACCTTTTTGGCTGTCATTACTTCTAAACGATTTTGAAACTCCTTTGCACTAAGATCACGAGATTCGAAATTTCTAAACGCAGGTCCAGCATGCTCTTATCATGATTGTATTGACAAAAACATCAATTGTATATCGCAATGCAGTCATTATTTCGAGCCCTTGTATTTCGCAATCCCATCACTATTCCCAACGTCTTATGTCGCAATCCTGTAGGTATTCCGAGCACATGTATACCACGATCCCTTCGTTGGCCAACCAGCTTGCTCGAATCGCAACTGTTTCGCTATGCTAGGTCACGAAGGAGACACAACGAAGAAAGTGAAGATCGATGGCCTAATGATACCAATTTGATAGGAACCGAATTAATTTTCCCCACATAAATTAGGACAAATAATATTTTATTGCAAGAACATCAAACATTTAACATAAATACAAAGTTATGCACCTACAATTCAAGAAATAGGTGATATATCCCAAATCCTCCAATTTGAGAGTAGGAAATTTCTCCCAAACTCTAATCCTAAGACTCACAATGATCATATCATGCATAACCACAACTCTAAACATATTAGTCATATTTATACTAAACAATAATAAATGACAAAAAACCAAATTATTCGTAGGCTAATAATAAAATAATAATTTGCACTTAGGTGTCAATCTAACAGCATCTCGTCCTATATTTGTATTACAAATTTTAGACCTTGGACATACCACATCACATACCCTTCAAACTTATGTACACATCACATAACCTTCAAACTTATGTTTACTCAAACTTAAAGCTCTAGCATACCATTTAAACCAACTTGTTTTCATGGTGCATCCTTGTTTCTCCAAGTCATTGTGTAATTTTCACATTAACATATG